TATAACCTCAATTACTAAGTCCCATGACCCTCTAAGTAAACCCAAACCTTAAACCCAAAACCCTGTGATGCACCGCTACATGTACCTTGAGGGCGCCTAAGATCCCCCTAAAAGGCCCCAGGGTCCAAAATAGGGTATAGCTTAACTCCAAATCAGCTACCTTTTGAAGGACGTATACAAAGAAATCATCACAAGGAACCCACAAGAGTTTAGGTTCTTTTAGGGTCTAGAGTTTAGGGTTTAGGGTATGAGGGTGTAGGGGCCCATACTTAAAACCTTACTTGGAGGTTCATGGGTAGTTAAAAGCGGGGGTTATCAGTAGGGCAACTACACTCATAACCCATATTAGGGGACTTATAAAAATGCTACTTATAGCTACCCATGAACCTCCAAGTAGAACCTATCCAACACAAGCGCTTCAGGGCTGAAGGCTCAGGTTTTGTCTCGTCTCGGGTTTAGGGTTTAGGCTTTAGGGTTTGGGGTTTAGGGTTTAGGGTGTAAGGTTCGTAGGGTCCAGGATGCCAACATCAACGTCAGGCCTCGTGTAGTTGAAGGTGCACTCCTTCATTTAATGAAGGGGCATTAGGCTCTCTGAACTGGGAAGGTGCGTAAGAAATCCTGGATCATATTCTCTAGGGTCCTTAACAGAGCCAGAGGTTGTTCTGAACCCGTTCACAAACCTTCAAACACCATTTCCAATTGAAGAAAACCCTACAAAGCTTATGAAATCATTGCAGAACGAAAGCCCTCTGAACTGCGAGCTCTAAGATCCTAATTCCTAAAGCCTTATTCCTTATAGTAAACTCTGAAAACGCTAAACCCTACTATGCCCTAAATCCGAAAATCCCGAAATCCTAAAACTATTAACCCTAAACCCTGAACCTTCGACCCTAAAATTTCCTACACACGGAATTCCCTAAACCCTAATCATCCCTAAACCCTAAATTCCCAAACCCTAAATGCCCTAAACCCTTGCAAAACCCGACTTCAACCCTAAACCCTAAACCCTAAACCCTTGCAAAACCCGACTTCAACCCAGAGGCTGCTGGAGCATCTCGCTTTTCAGCCACCGGCAGAGCACGGCGGCGCCGGCCTTTGGGGTTTAGGGTTTGGGGTTTCGGGTTAGGGCTTAGGGTTGAAGGGTTTGGGGGTTAGGGTGTACTTTCAGGAGCATGGGACTTGGTAATTGGGGTTATAACTGGGGTAACTATACTTATATGTTACTTATAACACCAACTAAGGGACTTACAACCTTACTTACTAAGTCCCATGATCCTCCAAGTAGGGTTTAGGGTCTAGGGTTTAGGGCTCAGGGTTCAGGGTTTACCCTAAACCCTAAACCCTAAACCGAATTGCACAGTTTTGCTTTTGTCGGATGGAGGGTCTGGGGCTGGGAAGAGAACCGGTTGCTCAACTCTAGGGCTCAAGTTTAGGAGGTGAAGGGTTTAGGGTTTAGGGTTCAGGGTCTGTATTTTGTTTTGAACCCCTTTTTTCCGAGGGCTTCAGGGTTTAGGGTCCGGCTGCTCAACTCTAGGGCTCAAGTTTAGGAGGTGAAGGGTTTAGGGTTTAGGGCTCAGGGTCTGTATTTTGTTTTGAACCCCTTTTTTTCCGAGGGCTTCAGGGTTTAGGGTTTAAGATTTAGGGTTTCAGGAGTTTTGCTTTGTTAGAATTCGCAGTACGAAGTTTCAACGAACACTGAACGATGCCTGCTCCCTATAAGCCGGAAATCCTAGACTTGAGGACCTCAGTTATTCATTGATTGGCGAATATGCTTGTCAGTACCATTTTAGGGTTTAGGGTTTAGGGTTTAGGATTTTCAGCATGTAAGTTTGCAGAACCCTAAGGAGTAAGCAGTACATTCGTAAGCGGTGCATCCCAAATGCTCAATGTGCCAAGGCTTTCGGGCTCAAGGACAAGCCTGGGGAGCAACATGCGTAGTTTTCAAACTTAGGGTACCTTTTAGGGCCTTTTTTTTAGGGTTTAGGGTTTAGGGTTTAGGGTTTTGGGTTTAGGGTTTAGGGCCTTTTTTTTTTTTAATAAGAGTGCCATACTATATTGGGGGGCCCGAACAAAGGGGGACCGAATTTAGAGAGCTGCCCACATGGGCTTCGAGTTTAAGGCTTCCCCGAAGTGTCCACGAGTATCTATATATATATATACAAATATATATATATATATATATACATATATACTGTGTACTTGGGTCTCAATGGCATAATGGGCTTCCTAATGTGTTCTTTAGGGCCGGGAGAGAGATATATATATATATATATATGTTTATATTTGTACGTATGCACATACACACATATGTATTAGTGTATACATATATCATCATGGACCCTAAGAGTCATGACGCTTAGTAACCAAGGGTATAAGTAAGAGAACTGGAAATTACGTCCAGTGCCAAATAACCTACCTGCAACCTACCTCCAAACTGCCGTGATCCTCGATGTAATGGGGCTAAACTTTAAACCCTACTGCCCTGAATCCTAAACCCTATAAAGCCTTAGGGAACCTTGAGAAATTGGTGTGTCGGCTTCGGATCCGAACGAGCTCGAGTTCGAAGTACAGCCACGCCCGTTTCGCCAGGGAGACGAGGTCCTGGCCCTGAAACTGGCTGATTCTGCAGATGTCCCTCTCGTCGAAGAGCGGATTCTGCGGGAAGCTGAGCCGCTGCCATGCAGCATGAGAAGAGCTTCGAGACTTTTCGCAGAACGGGAAATGTCCGCTGCCAGGACGGTCTCCGCACGGGGAGGGCGTGCTCTTCCAGTGCAAATCTGTCTTGCCCTTTCTGGCCAGTTGCTCCCTGCGTGTCTTTCACCGAATCGCAGCCTCAAGCGTGGACCATTTCAGCCCAAGCAGCCAGAGCGAGCACAGTCGCCTAATATAGCCAGTGCCTTCTGCAGCCGGAACAACGAGCTCCTCAGCGCAAAACCCGTGCACAAATTTTGGAAAAAAACCTACGCCAAACTTGCCCTAAACCCTAGAAGCCCTAAACTCTAAACCCAAAGCTCAACCCTATCCCTAAACCCAAACCCTGACCCCAAACCTCTCAACCCTAAACCCGAACCCTAAACCCCAAGACCGTGACCCCGCACCCCGCAAGCTCATCTCGAATGCCCAAGAGGTGCAGCTGGCGACCCTTCAAGGCCACCAAGGAAACACCAATCCCAATACAGAACGGTTTAGGGTCTAGGGTTTGGGGTTTAGGGTTTAGGGTTTAGGGTCTAGGGTTTAGGGTTTAGGGTTTCAGAGACTAGAGAAACCTCAAAGTACACCCTCTTAAACCCTAGACTTGCTCCCAGCAACAGCATGGCCTTGTGGTGGCAGAGGAAGAAGTTGTAGTTTTTGCCTCGCAGATTGGGCGGCATAACCACCCGCACCTGTGCCCTCAGCTAAGACACAGCGCTAAACTAGCGCCCAAGCGGCCGGGATGGAATCGCTTCCATAGCGCCCGCAATGCCAGAGCCTGCCAACGCAGGCTTCAATGACGGGTTAGGGTTTACAGGGCTTACATGTGGGGTTTAGGGATTAGGGTTTAAGGTTTCGGATTGAAACTTTTAGTAGGGTGCTCCGAAATCTGAAACACTAAATACTAAACGTCCAAAAACTCTGCGGGAGAACCTTCCCCCTAGGGTCCGCGTGTACAGGTATATACTTTGGCTGTGAAGCCCTTTACACAGTTTAGGGCCGGGGCATGTAATATACGGAACTTGCTAAGAAGATGTAAATACTACAGCTACTTCGGACTATGAGGGCAAAATATTTCTGCTTACTCAGGTCCCCATATCGCATGAAGCCGCTTTGGTTGGTCCCTTTAAGATGATATTTTTGCAACCTGGTGCGGAAAGCACTCGGATCCGGCGGGCATCCCCTGAACCGGAACCCTAAACCCTGACCCTAAACCCACACGCCCCTCAACCCGAGACTTAAAGCTCACACAACCAAACCCCACCCCGAAACCCGAGACCCAATCCAGAAATCCTTCCAAACCCACCCCTAAAAGAAAGCTCTGTAGAAAAACTGCTAAAACACAAGAATCTCCTCGGCAGTTATAGGGCTTAGGGGTTCTGGGGTTTAGGGTTTAGAACAGTAGAGATGCCTATGCAAACCAAAACAGCCCCTTTGAAATAGGAGCCTCTAACAACAAGCACAGGGCTTTGGGAAGATCATACAATAACCATAAAAAAAGTTTCAGCAGCTAGATGATCAGGAATCTATACGAACGACCTCAGCAATCAACAAAAAAACAACCACAACCACACCCTAAACCCTAAACCCTAAACCCTAAACCCTAAACCCTGAACCCTAAACCCTGAACATCAACAAACAACAAACGAAAAGGGATCCTGGAGGCCGAAGGAGATCAGCCCGATCAGTGCCATGAGCATGCCACTGAGGAAGGTCCTGGACTCTTTGGTGCTGTGTTGGCGTTTAGGGTTTAGGGTTTAGGGTTTAGGGGTTTAGGGGTTTAGGGTTTAGGGTTCAGGGTTCAGGGTTTAGGGTTTAGGGTTTAGGGGCTCTTTGGTGCTGTGTTAGGGTTGTGTTTTGCTGCGGTGTCAGCGTTAGGTTGTGGGATTCATGTGCATGCGGTTTTAAGACGTTGTTTTGCCTGTGATATTGCGCCTTTTTGGTCTTTGCGGGCTTTGGGGGAGGGTTGGCTTCAAAGCAGGCATTCGGGTTGGTGGTTTGGGGGTTTGCGGTCCAGGGGTTAGAAGATTTAGGTTAGATGAGGGTTCACGAAGAACGACACCGGGACCGTTCGCCCCAAGCCTGTGCCACGAACACTCTGGTTCTGAGTCATCAGGCAGAGGCACAGTTTGGTCTGCAGGAGGGAGTTTAATACTGAAGGTTCTGCCTATGTTCAGTATCCTCCATGAGCTTTCGGAAACTTTCTAGCTCATCATAAAACACATGGGCCCTGTACACATCTATGCGCCTTCACGGTTTTACGGCTTGGGGCTGAAGCACCGTCCTAAGCACAAAGAACATGTACAAAGTCATAAACCCAAGGCACCGTGTGTCACTGCCGCTGGCATCCACAAAGAAGGACGAGATGATAAGGAAGAAGGTGAGGCCCGTGTTCAGAAACAAGTCCTTATCGTCTTGCAAAGCAGAGGATTTCGGGCTTAGGGTTGGATCCTGATCCTTAGGGTTTAGGGTTTGTCCAGGGTCAGGGTTGGAGATGGCTAAGACAATGGAGGGGCAGCTAGAGGACTTATCCTAAAGAAGGTTGGGCATCTAAGTGGTCTGAAGCCATCTTCGGAAGAGCTGCAGCACTGTTCGCCAAATCCGTCGCCCAAGGGAACACGCGGGTGGCGGTCACAAGGTAGACAACCTTCGACATATATATATATATATAACAACAACTACAACTTTCAGTACTCATATGCAAATACCTGTGTATCTATATATGTGCAAAAAAAGATAGGCACACACACACACACACGAACGAAGACGAATAGACAGCATCCTGAATGCTGCAGTCACGGTGCCGTCATGAGAGAGAGCAAAACCTTGGCTGACTTCTGACCCGCTCCTAAAAGTTAAACTTTTAGCCTGCTCATTATAGTTCATATAGCAACCCAAAAAGTTAAAGTCCTAAGAGCCAACCAGAAGAACGCCAAGAAACAATCTGCACGGCAGCCAAGTTGGCGAAGAGGATCGGGACCAGGGCGACCATCAACTTCTGGAAGATGAAGTAGGGACCTGGGTCAAGGGTTTTGGGTTAAGTCACCTGGGATTTAGTGTTTAGGGTTTTAGGGTTTTGGTTTTTTTGGGTTTTTTGTTCAGAATTGTGGGGTGGCTTTGTCATGTGTTTCTTTTTTGGGGGAGGGGGGGGGGGGCTTGCCTGTTTACCTGATCCTTTAGGCTGGTCTTGACTGGGTTTCATAAAGGAGCTAGAGGGATTTGAAACTAAGATTTTCCTGTAGCCCCAAACCCTACAAAATTCTGGGCCTAACCCCTTAGTTATTATTAGGGTATAACCAGTAAACCCATTAGTTATTTTTAGGCAATAAAGCCCCTTAGCTATCATTAGGGTATAACCGGAAAGCACCCTAACCCCCAAACCCTAAACCCCTAAACCCCTAAACCGTAGTAAAGCAGTAGGTTTTTGGATGACCAGCTTGGGGTTAAATTTTTTGGGGGCAAGGATTGCCCATAAAGCCTCCTTGCCAGCGATAAACCGACTACCCTAAGATAGGAACCTGACTAAGAAACCCTGGGCCTTTATTAGGGTTCTTAAGATGAACCCTAATATATTGGGGGTATAAGGCCAGGGTTTCTTAATCAGGTTCCTACATTAGGGGTTCATGTGCCTATGTACCGTAATAGCCTGTTCGACGATTGGGATGATACTCATCTTTCACAGGGGTATGTTTCAGGGGTATGTCTCGGGAGTTTTAGGCGAGATCGCATACGCAGTGTTTTGGCGTTTTGAGGTGTATGTTTCGGGAGTTTTAGGCGGGATCGCGTACCCATTGTTTGGACCCTGGCGTTTTCAGGGGTATGTTTCGGGAGTTTTAGGCGGGATCGCGTACCCAGTGTTTCGGCCCTGGCATTTTCGGGGGTATGTTTCGGGAGTTCTAGGCGGGATCGCGTACCCAGTGTTTTGGGATTTTCAGGCGTATGTTTCGGCAGTTTTAGGCGGGATCGCGTGCCCAGTGTTTGGGCTTTTGTTTACCGGGTCCTCGACCAACACTTTCTGCATTATGTGGTCCAGGGGGGGATCCGGAATCAGAAGCAACATTAAACACCACAATCAACAACAAATGACTATGGTAAACTACCCACTTTGCATCCGATGACCGGCCACTATCTAGCACGCAAACAGTATTTGCAATAGACTTAATTGACATTCAGCTTCTGCAACATTTAATAACCAGCTGTGTATTGAACGAACACCTACTGAATTATTTCATGAGTTTCAGCAATCTCTGAAATTTATGCTCAATCAAAAAAAGCAAATACAATCTGAGCAGATAGTAGCTAACTTTCAACTCAGTCGGCTAGCTGTTGACTAACGTGCCATTCATGAGGAAATAATAATAGAATGCGCCTACAGGATTCATGAATTACAACGACACAGCATGTTAACTACATGAACCAAATACGATAACCACAACTGAATATAAACGAGGCACCCAAAACACAGGAAACACATACAGTATTCGAAACAGTAGTACTGCAATACTAACTAACTTGACTTAAGCAGTAACCCAATGCTGGCGAAGTTCCGCTTACGTATCATGAGAGATTGCTGAGATGCTCGATATCTGACAATTACTCATAGTATCCTACTTGTGGGGGTTTGGGTTTAGGGTTTAGGGTTTTGGGTTTAGGGGTTCAGGAGAGCTATCTACTAAACATTGCCTTCGGCGAGTTATAGTGAGCCACTGCATGAGCCTGGTATTCACCTGAAGACGCTACAGTTTTCGGGTTCCGGTTGATGTTCTCCTAACATGTTTAGGTCTACATAACGTGGGTGGGTTCTTCGGGGTTGAGGTAGAGCTTGGTAGATTCCGGAGGAAGGCTGCAATACCCTAAACCCTTATCCCCGGGGTTCTCGAGCGCCGAACCCAGAAAGTCTTACTCAAACCACAAACCCCAAACTCCAATACCTCCCTAAAGCCCTAAAGCCCTGAACCCAAAAACCTCAAACCCGAAAATCCTAAAGCCTAAACAGAAATCCCAAAAACACTAAACCCTAATTGCCCAAATTCCTAAACACCGCAAAGCGCCCAACATCTCACCTGGCAGCAAAACCTCAAAGCACCCACACGCAATGGAGATGCCTTTTTCCGCAGAATGGGAGAACTCCATGGGCAGGGATCGCTTCGAGGCATCCCTCCCGCCTTTATACCGACCGAAAAGTAGCTTGCCCAAGGTTCTCGGAAGGTCCTAGTAGTGTTTAGGGATGAGGGATGAGGGTTTAGAGTTGAGGGCATGGTGGTTGGGGGCGGCTGACCCCAAACTTCACTTTTGACAGCTTGAAACACGAGACCCGGGGCAACAATTCGTAGACCGGCAGTTACTGCCGGGCTTTGTCCGGCTGCAAAGCAGCAAGCCAATCACTTGATCAGTGGGTTGGCGAAGAGAAGCACCAGGGCAATGACCAAGCCGTAGATGGTCAAGGACTCCTGGCACTTTGAAAGAAAGAACAGCAAACATCCGGCCGGCTTTCAATTGCATCCCCTAAACCCTAAACTCTAAAGACCACTACCTAGACCCCAGACTCAGCAACTAAGAAGACTGAAAAGATGCCTTCTTGCTGCGAAGTTGCCATGAAGGCCAGGGACAGCAGCAGCACACCACGCAAGTCATCGGCCACCTTCAGGAAGTGAGGGCAGCAGGCTGTGGCCGACATCAAACCCGTGATCGCAGAAGGGGTCTTAGGTTTAGGGTTTAGGGTTTAGGGTCTTAGGGCTTTGGGTTTAGGGGTTTAGCGTCTATAAGGTCTATGGAGCAGTGCAAAGGACAGGAACTTTCGCAAAGGTTCTATCGGGCATATCGGGTTTTATATGGTCTGAGGACGGTGTCAGGACCAGAGGCAAGACATCTATCTAAATCCCTCGCAGCTTTTTCAGGGAAAAGACAAAACAAACCCCCAGAATCTGTATCATGCCTCGTATTTCCTGTTATCTCCTTGTATACACAACCCAAAACCCTAAATCCTCCACCCGCTGCCTGAACTTAACAAAAACTGGAAGAAGGCTTTGAGGCATATTCTTCGATTCAGCAAACCGAAAAGGTGCATGGAGTCTGTTCTTCGTTGCTGAGTTCAGAAGCCACCCCCACCCCAAGTGTACACTTTCAGTTTATAGTGGGTAATATTATCCCAAAGTGAAAAGTGTATCCACTCAGCTACTCATCATAGGGTCGAGGATTCGGGTACAGCTACAGGAAAATCTAGCGGTGGCTGGGCTGGGGTTCGAGATCGAGGCGTTAAGCCATAAGTAGGGTTTAAGGTTTGGGATTTGGGGTTTAGGGATTAGGGTTTGGGTTTCAGGGTTCAGGGTTTGGGCTTTAGGGTTTAGGGTTTGGTTAGTGTTTAGGGGGCTTACCCTGAGGCTCCTGTACCCTTGCAGCGGTATGCCAAATCCTAGCCGCAACCGATGCCCTCCCCCAGAAAGCCCCAGACTCCCTTAGAGCTTTTAGGCAGGGGTTGAAAGCCTTAAGGTTGGATACTGCCCCCACTAACAGTTGAATTATATATATATATATATCATTTAATACAAACGTATAAGGTAGTAGTAACCCCAATATAGATGTTACTGTATGGGGTATGGGGGGGGGCAGTACCCAAGGTTTAAGGGTTAAGTGTTTGAGCTTCAAACTCTCACTGCTGGATCCCTAAACTTCACATAACCTGGTTGCTGTGAGGGTCCGAAGAACCCAATAATAGGGTACTCCGCCTTCGGATAGTAGTTTTGTAGAACATCTTGTACCTACACAGACCCTTAAGGCTTTTCCAATTTGTTCAGAACCCTGTATTAAATGCCCTGACACACCTTAATCGCCTGATATGTGAAGCGCTACTTCAAGGTTCATGGGCAGTGATACGACATTGTACTTTCATAACTCGAGCTTTGAGCACCCTAAACCCTAACCCCTAAACCCGAAACCCTAAACCCTAAACCCTAGACATGTGTAGCTCTCTGCTTGCTTCTAAGTAGATATGACACCTCAGAGCCTCAACCGCAAACCCAAAGGCCCAGACATATTCCCAGCGATCCCAACCACATACTTGGAGAATCATGGGACTTAGTCAAGAAGGTTATGAGTCCTTTAATTAGGGTTATAAGTATAGTTACCTTAGTTATAACCGTACTTACTTACTGAGTCCCATGAACCTTTAAGTAATGGCCAGATGATAAGCCGTAAATATAGGGCCTGAAAAATCAGGTATCCTGTAGTATGATCGTTTACGGCTTAGGTTTTCAAAACAGGTAAAAGTATAGCAAAATACTTCTCAACACCATGCTCTAAATTCGCAGGCCGACAGACTAAACTCGACAAAACCACTGTAAACACCTGCAAAATCCAACAAACCACGATAAAATAAAAAACAAAAACAAAAAACAAAAAAAAACAAGTATGTTCTAAGCTCCGGCTGGCAACCCCAAACCCTAAACCCTAAAGTATTCCGCCTAAAGCCGGACCTTACAGCCTAAACTCCAGCCTTCTATACTGGCCCCTCTATAGAACCCGTACAGGAACCCTTAAAGGGGTTTAGGGTCTAAGGGTTCCTTCCCAGCCCGCCTCTGGCTGGCGGGAGATGCCGTCAATGCAGCGTCCGGATGCAATGCCCTGACCAACTCCCGAACCGATCGCCTGAGATGGTGCGTTCAGAGGTTTAGGGCTTTTGAGCGCTTAGTGCGTTTTAGCCGTTTTGGTTTTCTCGGGGCTGCGAGGTTTGTTGAGTTTGTCTCATATAGTACATCTGTTGGCCTTGACGTAGTCCCTATGCAGGTACTTTAAGGTTTGGCCTGCGGGGGAGTAGCTTGCGATCCCATCGCTTTAGGGTACTATAGGGGCCTTAATAATTAGAATAGGGTTTTGGGTTTTGCGGTATATTATACTATAGCCAGAATAAGCAACCCCCTAAATAGTATTGGTAAGTATTTAGGCCCCTACAGTACGGCCCTTCAGATGCCTAGGATATTGGATCTCCCGCTAGGGTTTGCCCATGGCGCTTCATAACCAGACCCCTTACCGACGACTGCTTATCAGGACGGCACCCAGCAGGGCAGGAAGAAAAAGCCCATACCCTGAACCCTAAACCCCTAAACCCTAAACCCTAAACCCTAAACCCTAAACCTTCTCCTGAGGGCTCGGTGAGAAGCACTTGGTGTATCATACATGTATAAGCCCTACAGGTTCCCATAAGGGTTTAGGGTTTAGGGTTTAGGGTTTCGGGTTTAGGGTTGAGGAGCCCTGTCTTTCTTGGTGCTCTTTCCGGGTAAACTGAGAGGTATCCTGTATCTCGGACATCGTAATCGAGGTTTCATGTGGGTCTAGCGGGTCCAATACTACAGGAAGCCCTAGAAACCCAAACCCCTAAACCCTAAACCCTAAAACCCTGAATCCTCAACTTCAACCCCCCAACCCCAAACCCAAATCCTAAACCCTAAACCCCGAACCCTAAACCCTAAACACTAAACCCTAAACCCAATCCTCCAACCACAAGCATGAACCCTACAACTGCAGCTGCATCGCCCCCTACCTAAAAAGCAAAACGAGCAGGACTCCTGCACACGAATCCCCTAAAACGCAGTAAGGGCTCCCTTAACTTAGGGGTTTAGGGTTTGGGGTTTGAGGTTCAAGGGCAGAAAGTTAATACCCCTAGACCCTAAGCCATTTTTCGAAGGCCCAGCGACGGCCAAGCCGATGGCAAATCCAGCACCGATGGCGGAGAGCGCAGGAATCCACACCGCTCCCTCATCCGCGAATGCGGCCTTGACTGGCCATTAAGGGTTTAGAGTTTAGGGGTTTAGGGTTTAGGATTTAAGGGGATGTATAAGTGTTGCTTTAGAGGGATCTGTACAAGCTCCTTTTCGGAAATCGATAGCGGCGAAGCGGGTTCCTGTATAACTAAGAGATATTCAAAGGATTCTTTCTTTCTAACTAACGGGATCTACCTTCGGGACGACATGAACCCCAAAAGGGTTTCATGGCCATATACCACATAAGGATGCATAGTACAAATGTGTAGGACCGGTACCTTAAGGGGCCAGTTGGTCCTTACTTGCGGACCATAAGACTTAGCAAGTAGGGTTATAAGCCCCTTAAGTGGGGTTATACGTAAATATGAGTATAATTACCTTAATTATAACCCTAATTACTAAGTCCCATGATCTCCTAAGGTCCCTTTGAGTAAGGTAGATCGCGGGGTTTGTGTAAAGGGACCGAAAAAATGCTCAATTTCCAGGTGGAGGGCTTCCAGGCTTTGAGCTTCGGGCTTAGGCTTTAGGGCTTAGGGCAGTTTAGGGTTTAGGTTTATAGGCCTTAGAGCAGTTTGGGGTTTAAGGTTACAGTACCCAAAGTCTCAATGTCCCGGGATTAGGCTTTAGGGTTCAGGGTTTAGGGTTCTTTCGGCGAACACCCCAGCCTGCTTACTTCGGCCTCTGCAGGGTAGTGCTTAGCTTTACGGGGTTTAGGGTTTAGGGTTTAGGGTTTAGGGTTTAGGGTTTAGGGTTTAGGGATTTTCATGTCTGTTTCGGGTTTAATGGGTATGTGGATCGTGGGCATCAGGAAAAATCACTAGTTTTGGACCGTGCAGCTCGTGCTAATTAGCACTAGACCCATCAAGCCCTGGCCCTACGGCTCAAAATAGCCCCAAAGCTTTGCAAAGGGCTTATCAAGGTTTAGTTTGAAGCTGAAGATACGGTCTCAAGCTTTTAGCTAGGATTTAGGATAGTTTAGGGACTCGGACTGAATTAGCATCTGCGGTTTCAGATTTGGGGAGTCGGCTTGGCTTCGGGGTTATAGTTCATGTTCTACCTTGGCACCCCGACTACTCTCTTTGTAAAGCATACCTTATGGCCCTTAAAATAAAGTACGGTCCTACACCCTTGTACTATGAATCCTTACATGGTATATGAACATTGAACCCTTTTGGGGTTAATTTCGTCCCTAGCCCTAAGGGTCCAAAGGACCAATAATACGGTACCTTGGTTGCGGCTAGTGGTTTTCTAGGCTAACGTTTGGGAGAGTATATGATGCTAAGTTACTTAGACCCTTAGGGTAAGGTACACACACGCCACTAAGCAATACGTGAAACACACTCTCAAGGAGAATCAACAAGTTGAACCCTGCTTCATAGGCTGGCTTCCCTGTGGCATCTGCTGGTGGAGCAAGCAGACACACGTAAACCCTGAACTAAACCCTTACCGCCAAAACTCTAAAGCCGAAACCGTGAACCGGCCCTAGACACGAACCCCAAACTCTAAACACCTAAGCCCGAAGGTCCTGCGGCGCAAGCAGGGCGGCGCTCACCGCGACGGTCGTTCCTGACACCTTCGGCGTCGATGTGACGGGACGCGCAGCTGGCACGAAGGCACCTGGAAGGATCCCATATAATCTACTACACCTAATAAAATATGCTACCCTAAACCCCCAGGTACCTACTATATAGGGTACTAGAGCCCCTAAGGCCCTATATAGTAGGTACCTGGAGGGTTAGGGCTATATGAGATACTATCATACGCTTTCGAGCTTCAGGTTCACTAGAGTTTCGGACCTTAGGGACCAAGGCGCTGAAGAGAGCACCCGAGCACAGCAGCACTGCGGCGGTCAACATCATGGAGCGGGCCATGTTTCGTTCCTGAGTCTTACCTGGCGAAGGTGCTATGGCGATGCAGGAAATTGCCCCAGCTCGAGCTGAGAAAGGCGGGAAAGCAAGTCACTCTTCTCTACACCTATAGGATGTATGTACGTATGTATGTATGTATGTATGTATGTATGTATGTATTCTTGTGAAAGCAGAACACCATGTTGGGCCTGTAATTCAGGTCATGTGTATGCATGTGTGCATGCATGCGAACAAAGACAGGAATGCACGCACTTACGTGTGGGGGGAGTTGGCATGATCTGCATAAACACTCGATCGATATCTCCATCGATCTCTCTATCTATCTACCTGTCTTTCTATCTATCAGTATATATGTATACACATACGCATATGTGTATATATGGTCTATATATATATATATGCTCACACATGACACACACATATATATATATATATGCACATGTATATATATATATATATACATACATAAATATAAATGGAAACACAAATATACATATATATATATATCTCTCTCTCTCTCTCTCGCCATGTCACATCTTGTGCGCATGAGACGAATCTATAGAGACCTTCACGCCCAGCTACCTTTCGAGCAGCAGCTGTCTTTAGGTCCTGTATACGCCCAAGTACTGTTTGGTTCAGCTTTCATTTAGGGTTTAGGGTTTAGGGCTATTCATGACTCAGAATGAGTGACAGGCTTCTTAGGCTGGCATCTAAGGTTGAAGTCTTAGGGAACCCTCAACCCTAAACTCCGTAGCAAACACCGAGTTAGGGGTCTGGCGCTTGGGACGCAGATCGTTGTGTGTTGTTGGCTGCTAGGATCAAGTCGAATGGTTCGAAGTATGGAAATGAGATTTCCGGTTCAAATCCAGACCCAGCAAACTAGACCCCTCTAAACCCCGAGCCCTTGACTCTACACCCTGGCATATCAGCCGTGTGGCCCCAATAGTAGGCGTGGTTGCCGAAGCGCTGGAAGAGGAACCGGTACCTGTCTCAAACAGAAGCCTAGAAAACTAAACCCTAAACCCTAAACCCTATAGAACTATAAACCCTAAGCCCTAGGTAATAATGTTTGGTTTGGGCGGGGGCTTACATGGTAAATGTGTTGTAGGAACCCTGAGGGCCACATCTACTACCCTAAGGGTCCATGTACCCAAATTGTATATACCTTGGCCTTTACAACGTAGTCCCTATATAGATACTTTGGGGTTAAAGTATATACTATTTGGGTACATGGACCCTTAGGGCTATGATATTCAACACATTACGGAGCCTATGCGATACACACGCGATTGCTGATTATGCTCTGGCCCGACATTTAGCTTTGGATCCCCTAAACCCTAAATCCTAAACCTTGAGACTCTAAAGCTCTAAACCCTAAAACCCTAAAGACCCTAAAGACCCTAGAACCCTAAAGACCCTGAAACCCTAAACCGTAGGCCCTACACCCTAAACCCTAGAAGCCCGAAGCCCTATATAGAACCCTAAACGCTAGCTGGGCTTTGAAGTAACTAGGGAGGAAAACAGTATAGACTTTTATTTTATAAAGGTTCCTTTAAAGAACAGGTCCCAAAAAAGTATTACAGTATGGTACTCGAAAGCCCAGCTAGAACCCTAAACCCTAAACCCGAAACCCTAGAGCCCTAAACCACTTCAGGTGTGGGAGTTTCCGAAAATAGGGGACCCTAATATAGTACACTAAATAGTAGGATCCTTATTATAAGGACCCCCAAAAGAGGACCCCCCCCCAATTTTCGGAAACTCCCGTGTGGCTTAATGTTAAAACTCTGCGCCTGGAGGTCTGGGGACCAAGGTCCTCACTTGCGGGCTATATGGTTTTATTTTTCAGGGTTTAGGGCTTAGGGTTTAGGGTTTACGGCTTAGGGCATAGGGTTTAGGGTTTAGGGTTTACGGCTTAGGGCTCAGGGCTTAGGGTTTAAGATTTAGGGCTCACGGCTTAGGGCTTAGGGCTTAGGGTTCAGGGTTTAGGGTTCAGGGCTTAGGGCTTAGGGTTTAGGGTTCAGGGTTTAGGGCTTGGGGTTTAGGGCAGTGTAGGGCTTAGGGTTTAGGGAGGTTTAGGGTTTAGGGTTCAGGGCTTAGTGCTGTAGTCTAGCTGAGTTTCAAACAAACCCTGAAGCCTTTGTGGCGGAGCCTCAGCTTCGAGCAAAGGCTCTATCTGCCAAGGATTCATGAGAACTCTTGGGTCTCATGGCAAAATGTAGGGGCCTTACTTGGAGGTTCATGGGTAGTAATAAGTAGGGTTATACGTCCCCTACTATGGATTAGAACTATAGTTACCGTACTTATAACCCCACTTATAACTACCCATGAACCTCCAAATAATCGACAGAATAGGGCTTTGCGGTCTTTCTGTATAACCTACTACAATCAGCAGTAGTACCAACTATTAAGGCTTCTGCATTGTGTAAACACTCCAAATCGAGCTGTGTCGAGCCTTAGGGTAAGATACTTAAAGGATCATGGGACTTAGTAAGTAGGGTAATAATTAAGGTAACTGTACTTATATGTACTGATAACCCCGATTAAGGGACTTACAACCTTACTTACTAAGTCCCATGATCCTCCAAGCATGTCGAAGTATTCCAATGGACGGCCCGGCTTTGCTTCGCTCTTAAAATATGCTGCGCAGGGTCCGCGACAGCGAACCGGGGAAGGGTTAAGGTTTAGCGGCGAAGAAGGGCTGCTTCTCTTTCTCTCTATCGTTCTCTATGTTTGTATATATATATACACACACAACAGCCAAACATACGGGGGAACCAAGTTCAGGCGTCTGCGGCAGTACCCTAAACCCTAAACCCTATAAACCCTATAAACTCTATAAACCCTATAAACCCTAAAACCCTATAAACCCTATAAGCCCTAAACCCTATAAGCCCTAAGCCCTAAAAACCCCAAACCCTATAAACCCTATAAACCCTAAACCGAATCTTTGAAAGGTCTTCGATACTGTAGAGCGAGGAAAGGCCTGGACTTATCCCTGCATGAAGCTCCCGATTTCTGAGGTTAACAACTTGTAGAGTTTAGGGTTTAGGGTCTAGGGATTAGGGTTTAGGGTTTATAGGGTTTAGGGTTTAGGGTTTAGGGTTTAGGGTCTAGGGCTTAGGGTTTAAGGTTTAGGCCTTCTACTGCTGATGGAAAGACTGACTCCGGCCGTAATAATATATGGGCCTTGATTTTTATTGGAATAAGGTTTGGGGCTGGATTATACTATACTTAATAACAGGAGCCCCCCAAAATCGTATTGGTAATTATCTGCGCCCCTATATCACAGATACCCTGATCCCTGAAGCCTACCCCAATTCGCCAGTCCAGGGTGGCAGGACTGTAGGGTTCTGCTGTGGGCGGAGAACCTCTCAACCCCTGGTGTAAAGGAGACGGGAGTCTGGCCACGAATTAGGTTTTAGGGGTTTAGGGTTTATGGTTTAGGGATAGAGTAGGAGCTGGCGCATTTGCCATCTAAGCGCCCTAAGCCCGAAAAGTCAAATCCTAAAAACAACCGAGGCAGTTATCCCTAAGCCCGGCCCTTAATAACATAGGGGCCTTACTAAATTAGAATAGGGTTTTGGGGTAGATCATTCAATAACTATAGAAAAGAGCCCCAAAGAATAGTACCGGTAAGTATTTAGGTCCCTATAACATCATATCCCTTGGCCGTCAGATAGGATTTGTTTCTTAAAAGGTCCCTGAGCTGTGGTTAGCTTAGCAGACGCAAGCAATGAAACGAACTGGCTGTTTTCAGACTGCCTGCTTCAGACTTCTAACCTCTAAACCCTAAGCCCTACATCGTCTGTATTAGCTTCTGCCAGGGTGCTGCGTAAGCAGCTTCAAGCCACGACCGCTGTTCACCAGAGCAGGGTATCGCCAAACGATCTGAGCACGGTTTAGGCGTTAGGGTTTAGGATTTGGGGTTTTGGGTTTAAGGGAGTTTCGGCTTTAGTGTTTAATGGGGGCTCAGGGTTTCCGGGTTTGGCGTCTAGGGCTTGGTAGCATGGGGTTTCACTTGCTTGGAGGCCTACGCATAACTAGCATAGAAGGACTCAACAACTTCTGCACGATTCTGCGAGTGTTGTGGGTTCTGGAAGCGTCTAGGGTCTCGAGTGCCGGAGTGCGAAACAACGGTAGACACGTCCATAAACCCTAAACCCTCAACCGTAAACCGTCAAAACCAGCCTGATCGATCACAATCTACATGAAACAATAAGGGAACTAAGCCCTAAACCGTAAACCTTATCGATGCCTAGATTCAGTATCCAGGCACATTTGGGGGCGAACCGCGCGTGGGGCTGTGTTCGGGCCTATTGTTCAGGGCCAGGGCTGGGATTTATTTAAGGGCTTAGGGCTTTAGGGTTTGGGATTTAGGGCTGAGGGCTTAGGGTTAGGGCTTGAGGCCTCGGGTTTAGGGTTTAGGGTGTAGGGCTTAGGGTTTAGGGTTTAGGGCTTAGGGCTTAGGGTTTAGGGTTCAGGGCTTCGGGCTTCAGGGCTAGCTAGCGTCCTTCCATTGCGTAGACGACTTTTCACATCATTAGCAAAGCCACTTGCAGCCCCCGCGGCGATCCTTGCAGAACCCTAGCAGCCTCTGTTGAAAGGGGCTAAGAGAACCCATCAGGTTTCGGATTAAAAGACTATAAACCCTGGACCCTAAAGAACCTAATGTTTTAGGGTTTCTTGTTATGATTTCGTTATATAAGCACGTATACAAATGTAGGTTATTTGGGGTTAAACCCTAAACCCTGAAACCCCACCTCAGCCAAAACCCTCACCCGCAAGACCTTCAACGAAAAGGCTCCCAAGCCCACCCTAAACCCTAAACCCTGGACCCTGAACCGTGCAGCTCAACCTTGACCCCACAATCCGAAGACAGAAAACACGTAAGCGCTAAGCCCGAACCCCGAACCCGGCAAACCCTAAGCCCCATGCCCTAATACTAAACTCTAAAGAAAGAGCGGCTTAAATTCGCCCTAAGCCCTATACACCCCAAAGTCCTT